TTGGGCGGCAATCGTTAACGACCACATTATCATTGGTCCAATATCGATTGAAGATCGATTGACGGGATCACTTACGACCCCGGGGACGTGGGGACTTAGTTTCTAAATAAGTTGATTTCGAGCTTTTAAAAACGCCTAAGATGTTTCAGTATATGGTAGTCATAAAATTCGTAGACTACGCCGCGCCGTTTAAAATTATTTTTAGTTTTATGAAATATGGTAGGATGAATTGTTTTTATGTATTTTTTTTTTTTGGATATTCGGAAATTTTGTCTATCAGTCATATTTTACAAAATACTTTCGACGGTAGCTTCTATTCCACTTACACAAAACACCATATTATTTTCCGTACAGGAAAAATAAGCACCCAGTATAAAAATCAATTGCTGACGTTAGTCTCGCTAAAATTCAAAAACGGCTATATTGATGAATTTTTTTTGTGTATTTGAGTTTTCCAGGGACCCCTGGATGGCTTAAAAAATTAATTAAACCACCGGGTTTAATTAAGTTTTTAAACCATCGAGTAGGTGGCGCTGTTTTCGAGATCCCGAAATCGCCCGTGCAAATCCGGGGCGGATCGCTAGTATATAATAAAAATTATTCTATTCAATTGGGAGTCTCATATTAAATCAGTGTGTGATAGACTAAATAAATTTGTATATGCTTTAAGGTATATGAGAAAAGTCACAAACATAAATACAGCCCTGTCGATTTCCCATGCTTATGTAGTTTCAATTCTGCGTTACATGTTAATTACGTGCAGAAATAGTTCTTAATTAAACCACAGCCTTAATCACTCAAAAAGTTACGAACTTACTCTCAAAGCGCCATTTTATTCATCAGACCATTATTCAAAAAGCTTTAGTTAATGAAATTGCCCTCGCTCTACATTTACATATATGAAATATGCTTGTTCGTCAAACAACACAACCATCTGTTTAATAAAGCAAAAGATATACGAAATCATTGATATCCTGAAAAATTTGTAATCGACAAACTTCCTATCCTATCTAAGTATATTAAAAGCTGTCTATATATGTGTGTCAAAATATATAGTAAAAATCCTCAGCATATTAAACCTATTTTTTAATCTTTCTCAAGATTTAGAAAAAAAATTCTATGACTATCTTGTACCAAGTACCTTATGTAGAATTCCGTTTTGAATTTTTTTTTTTTGATTTTTTTTTAATTTTCGATTATAAATTTAACAAATGAACCACTGTAATTTCAGTAATCATTGACATTTTTATTCTCTTTAATGATAATCAATAATTATCTAATGAGTAACAATTAATTATACAATTCCACTTTCAATGTTTTTTTTTCAAAATTTGTAATTATTAACTTTAAGAAACATGTACCATGTATTTACCATGTTTGATGCAAATAAAAGTTTTGAGTCTTGAATCTAGATGATAATAAAACACTACACTAACTATTTATCAACTTGTAATAAGATTGAGACAGATAAAGTTCGGCGCGTCTTTATAATGCAATTACAAGAAATTGTGCCTTAACTTGGTAGATTATCATAAATCCAAGTTCGAGAGCTGTGATTGATCGACCTCAAGGGTTTCGTGAAATTTGTTGTAAAGTTAATTAAAGAGTTGTTGATGAAAATCGAAACTTTAATAGTATATTCTTGTAACGGTGATTTATCAAAATCAATTAATCATATGAAGATTAAGTCGTAGGAATATTCACCAACCTAAATCGTCTCGCGGGTGTCGTAAAAGACGACTAAGGTGTTCGACATTCTAATTAACCACGACTACCTCAAGATCAAAATTATTTTTTAATTTACCACTGGTTCGGAATAAAACCTGTCCTGGGAAGAACCAGTAAAACTCAGCGGGACTTTTTTTTTTAAATAACAGCTTACAATCATGTATATAACAATTAACAACACAAAACAATTAGGAGTAGCTTTGTGACGATCACCTTTCCCAGAGGTTATTATCATCCATAAACTCCTTAATATTGTATTAATCTTTTATACAAACTTAGTTTGATAAGGTTTTCGAAGTTTGAGCAGGTCAAATTTTATATATTTCTTGGGATTTTGTTGTAAAAGCGTATTAATCGCCCTAAGAATGAATGACTGACTCGGTGGAGTCGAGTAACTGGTACTACTAGCTTGTATATTTACAGAATGAATACCACTTATCTTTATGAAAATGCTTTTATTTTTGTGTACGTACATTACATTTTCATAAATGTACTGAGCGGCCAAAGTTAATATATTAATAATTTCTTTAAATTTTTGTCTGAACGACTCTTTACGTTTTAAATCACATATTGCTCTTATGGCCCTCCTCTGTAAAACAAATATAATTTCAGTGTCAGTCGCGCGTATCCATAGCAAACTACTATTATAATAATATAACTTTATGCTATAGAAATAACATTATGCTATAGAAATATCTATAGTAAACAAGTTTATCTGTTTCAACACTCGTAAGATTTCTAATCTTTTTTACAGCATATGTTGCAGAACTAAGTCTGCTTGCTAGTTTTGATGCATGGGTGCTTTGCGTCTAGTATGATTACGATTGAAGCTTTGCTTCTAGTGTGATTCCAAGAAAAATGGTGGTATAAACAGGACTCAGATCCTCTCCATTTAAAATTACATTAGTATTAACACGTTTGACATTCGGAATTATATAAATAATTTCATACATTTAGTTTTAGTGTCATTTAAATGCAAATTAAACTTATAAAATCGCGATAAAATCTGTAAACACTAATTTTATATAATTATGTATAAGAATTCGTCATGGTTTGAAACAATCCATTTGCGCAGTGTGTGGATGAGAATTGTCAAAGAAATAATGAACTAGTGCAATTAAAAGTCCACCAAGACTTTTTAATTGCTACATTCAAACTAGAATACATGTGTTTGTGTGTGTGTGTGTGTGTGTGTGTGTGTGTGTGTGTGTGTGTGTGTGTGTGTGTGTGTGTGTGTGTGTGTGTGTGTGTGTGTGTGTGTGTGTGTGTGTGTGTGTGTGTGTAGTTGAAACCCTGTGTGAAAAAAAAAAATAGAGTACATTCGTACTTCAGCTAAGCAGGAAATATTGAAAAAAAAGGAAGGACCTCCAAATGCCAACACATACGCATTCTTACGCAGAAAAAAGCTCTACAACAATAAACACTTTATACTGTAGTGATGAACTGGTCATGTAATAATGTTTGTGGAAACCATCTTTGTACCTGCCTACTAATTACATAGGATTTGGGTTCGAAATCCAAATCTAATTGAATATTATTTTCAATCAGTAAATAACGACCATGTACGGATCAGTAAACTGATGTTGCAGCTGGCGCCAAATAGCTCAAAGAACCGACTACCAATGGAGAAGAAAGGTCGTGCCACGTAAGATGAAATTAAATAGAGTCCACTGCGCATGTACAATCAAGCAGAAAAATGAAAATTTTATAATGGCATTTTAATATGTAAAAAGTCAAAGGTCAACATTATAACTACACATCAAAGTCTCCACGAAAACTGAACGATATATTTATATATCATCGTTAAGTTTTAACTGCTTCTAAATAATATTCTGCATTTTATGTACACTTAGTTAAAAAAATAAAATATTTTGTATTTGTATTTTCGTATTTGCAATTGCTGTTTAAACTATACTATGCGATAGTCTTCGATTATAAGGCTATATTACATGCAATAATTTACAAAAAAAAATCATCTTATAGAAAATAACAAAATATTTACAACTTTATACAATATACTACGAACTACGCTATTTTAAATAGTCCCAAAATTTAATAATTTATAAAGTAATAAATATTTGCACACTATTTGAAAATATTATAGAACAATATTTTATAACAGGTAGTCGCTAACACTTCGATATCGATAGTTTACAAGACGACACAAGGTGCGCGGGCGACGGGAAGCAGGAAAAAACTACTTGGGAGTTGGGAGTAGCGCGTCGCCCGTTGCTATGGTTTCGCTTCCCCGTACCTCACACCTCACCGTGCCGACACCGATTTTTCAGTTCTGCGCACTTCCATGACTCGTGGCGTTGCCTGTACCTGGCAAGACATACAGGAAGTCGATGTATGCAGGCGGCTCAGAACCGTACAATTAACAAAAAAAATTCACAAAATATTAATTGGAAGAAGTCTATGTTTAGCATATGCCGTAATGATGATGTTGACGATGATGAGTCTTGGTGTATGGTTATTTTTAAATATATCTACAGCATCTGCTCTGATATAAGTCAATGTCATCATTTTATTAACCTACTTCAAAAAAGGAGGAGGTACTCAATTCGAGTATATTTTTATGTGATGATTCTTTTTTTTACTTGAGAGCTGATGTTTCTCATGTGGTCCCGCATAATTTTTTTAAGATCTCACCAGTAGTTATTTGTATTATTCTTATAATGCGTATTTAGTTGACTTCGACTACATTGATGATGTTCTCATTTTATTTATATTGAAGTCTGTTGTAAAGAATTTTTAATTTTACCACTTGTTTTGTTACCACGTTTTCATAAATTCGCTTTCGTTTATATCTGTTCGTGTTACATTTAGTAATTGATTGTAAACTAACTTCCCGTGAGCTAGAAACATGAAATTTTAAACTTAACTTAGAATGACCCTTTTCACTGGAAACGAGGCATTCCTTCTTAGTCCTCACGGGTGACAACGCATCTGTTTTTTGATTCGTAATCGAGGATAGATGTAGATGTCTATGGGCCGCAGTAACCACTTACCATCGGGTGGACTGTGTGCTCGTGTGTCACCCTTATCCTATGTAAAATAAAATCGGATGACATTGTAAGAATATGAAAAAACCGAGGTATATTTAAAAAAAAAGATAATTTTCATTCTATGCACTTAACAGTTTTTAAATTATAGATACACCAGACGTCCCGTACTCTTAACTGGCTTATTGTAAAATATTTTAAAATGAACAAAATCAAATTCGAAATTAAATTATAAATCGTCTAAAAATTGCCATTTCTTTATTCCAGGCTAATGCGTGACGAAGAGTGCAACATCTTACAAAATCTTTCACGCGATGAGTTCCGCGAGTTCCGCACGCTCGTGATCGACATGGTGCTGGCCACCGACATGTCGTTCCACTTCCAGCAACTGAAGAATATGCGCTCGCTGCTCTCTCTCGCTGAGCCAACCGTCGACAAGTCCAAGGCAGTGTCCCTCGTGCTTCATTGCTGCGACATATCGCACCCTGCTAAGGTAACATTTTAAATTCTTTTAATGGTAAACGTAAGTTTCAATAAAGTAAGTGTATCCACTACCCCATATCATCCTGTGGGTGTCTTAAGAGGCGACAGAGGGAAACTGAACTAAGAAATGGGCAGCAGCGTCTTCCTGATAACTGAAGAATTGAAAAAACTACGGTAGCCAACGCGCTTGCCAAGCGTGGCAACTATGGCAAATATCCCTGCTATGAGGCGGGATATATACGTGAGAGACCTATGTTCAGCAGTAGACTTTTTATAGGGGGCAAACGAGCATACAGCTCACCTGATGGTAAGTGATTACCGCCGCCTATGAACAACCGCAACACCAGGGGAATCGCAGATGCGTTGCCGGCCTTTTAAAAAAGAGTAGGCTCTTTTCTTGTAGGTCCCTAAGTCGTATTGGTCCGGAAAAATATCTGGTTGTAGTCGATTCCACAAGGTAGTTGTACGAGGAAGAAAACGTCTTTTAAATCGCGTAGTGTGAACCGCCAGTCATCCAGATAGTATGGATGGTATGGCGAGTTTTGTTGCGATGTGCGATGGTGAAATTGTGCGTCTGGAATTAGTCGGAACAATTCCTCAGAGCACTCCCCGTGGTAAATGCGATAAAATACGCAAAGAGATGCAATAGAAGAGATATTGCATCACTTTGCGTATTTTATCGCAGTGCGAATTTCGAAAAAGGTTTTTTTTTACAATCATAAGGCTGTGACTAAATTCACACCTGATATGGTAAGTGGTGATGCAGCTGAAGATACTCTTAACTTAAGAAAAGCCTTTTTACTCTCGCCTTAAAAACACCGCGCACATTATATTAATGAAAGACAGATATTTTTGTTATTTCTTTTACATAAAAGCAACATATATGTTTATTCAATGCAGAGGTGGGATCTCCATCACCGATGGACTATGAGCTTGCTCGATGAATTTTTCCTACAAGGAGACAAGGAACGTGAGCTGGGTCTGCCTTTCAGTCCCCTCTGCGATAGAAACAATACTCTTGTAGCGGAATCTCAGATCGGTTTCATTGAATTCATCGTGGAGCCTAGCATGACAGTCTGCGCTGACATGCTGGAATGCATATTAGGACCGTTGCATTCCAATGCAAAGAACTCTTCCAGTACCAGTGGTCAAGAGTCCATCAGTGAAGAGAGTTCAGGTAAGAATTAAATTTACTTAAAGTAAAAGTAAAGTTACAGTCTATATACGTCCCACTGCTGGGCACAGGCCTCCGCTCATTTCTGAGAGGATTTTAGGGCAAGGAATTGTCCGCCGCGCTGCCCTAATGCGTGTTAGCGAACTTCACATAATAATAATACATACATAAACACTCACGCCTGTCACCCAGAGGGGTAGGCAGAGACTACAGACTTCCATTTAGCACGATCCTGACATACCTTTCTCGCCTCTTCCACATCCATATACCTACGCATACATGCTCGTCGGTTAAGGGTACTCTTAATTTGGCCCATTTTTAGTATATCGCCAATTTGGTCGGCAAACTTCCGCCTAGGACGTCCCTTTCCGACTCTGCCATTCACTTCTGCAACATAAATTTGCTTTGTCAGTCTTTCCGCATTCATTCTTTCTACGTGACCAAACCACCGAAGCATTCCTTTCTTAATCCTGGTCACCGCATCATCTTGCAAACCACACTCTTCTTTTATCACACAGTTTCTCACCCTGTCACTCAGATTCAGCCCTAACATACTCCTTAGCGACCGCATTTCTACTGCATTTATTCTACTCTCGTGCTTCTTCTGCCACACCCAACTTTCACTACCATACGTTAAAGTAGGGACTAATACAGCACTGTGAATTGCCATACGTGCCTTTTTTGACACATTCTGACTTTTCACAATAGAGTGTAGAGCCCCATTTACTTTATTTCCTGCATTCACTCGTCGTTCAATGTCCTTATCATATCTCCCATCCCTGCTGAATACACATCCCAAATATACGAACTCATCCACTTGATCAATTAACTCTCCTTCTATTCTTATTTCACATACCGTTTTGCTTTCATCTCTTTCAAAAACCATCACTTTCGTCTTACTTGCGTTCACATTCATTCCCCCTTCTTTTAATGACCTGTTCATTAATGTAACCATCATTTGCAACTCGGCCGCCGACGACGCAAGTATGACCTGATCATCGGCGTACAAAAGGCATTTGATGGTTAACTCACCCATTCTTAACCCGCATTCTTCAACTTTCAGATTTTCCAAACAGCTGTCCATAAATAGGTTGAACAGCCACGGGGAAGCTACACAGCCCCGTCTGACACCTTTATGGATGCCAAACCAGTCCGAGTAGACCCCGTTGATTCTAACACAAGCACTCGAGTCCCTATACAGAGACTTTAATGCCTGTATCAAACCAGCGCTCAACCTAAATGCGTTCAGCGTTTGCCATAACACATCCCTGTCCACTCTGTCATAAGCCTTTTCCAAGTCCATGAACGCACAAAAAACTTTTTGGTTTTTCGCCACAAAACTTCTCCGCGATCATGCGCATGGAAAAGACTTGATCTGGACACCCCATTCCCTTTCTAAATCCCGCTTGCACATCCCAAATTTTTTCATCAATTTCTTTCATAACTCTTTCAATTAGTACCTTAGCATACAGTTTTCCCACAATGCTAAGAAGGCTGATACCACGGTAGTTTTTACAGTCCTGCTGTGACCCTTTTCCCGAACTTCACATGTCTTCGAAATATTTTTTTCTTATTTCTCTGACATGCAGGTTTCCTCACGATATTTTCCTTCACCGCCAAGCACGTGGTAAATCAGCACTTAAAATTTCATTGGTGCCGGTAGGGATCGAACCCGGTTTGTTCACATACTGTGAAATTTACAGCGAGCGCTAAACATCTGAGCTACCACGGCTCAAATAATAATAAATTTACTTAATAAATACTAATTAAATAAATAAATAAATAAATTTAATTACCGCCTATCATAATATCCACTAATTCACACTCATTAATTGCTGAAAAAAGTCGTTGAAAGTTTTGTCAGCTTTATATTTTTTAGCCTGGGTAATGTCACACCTTTGACGCTCTTGCCTGTCGCCGGTCGGAGTACTTCATGTTTGGCGTAACAATACGCATGATTTGCCCTGGGTCATTTAAAAATAAATACTTTTTAACTGCTACAAAACGAATTTAATGCTACTACTAACTTAAAAATATTCCGATGTGTTTAATTACACATTATACATATTTTTAAGTTATAAAAAAGTTGTGTACCGAACAAAGGCTAGACTGACAAAATTATGTGAAATATCACTTTTATACGTATTCTTACACAAGTAATTACTTACTTATACATCGGTTCATAACAGTACACAAGATGGTAACTTCCGTCACTCTAACTATTGGAAACAATAAGGTTTGTCTGGCATTTCCTACCTTTTAAATTTTAATTTTTTTTTTTGCAAAATAAGGGTGACAAACGAGTACATAGTCCACTTGATGGTATGTGGGTGCTGTGGCCCATAGACATCTACATTTACCCCCGATTAAGAATCAAAATGCAGATACGTTGTCACCTTTAAAGACTAACATGGAATGCCCCGTTTCTAGTAAAAAACGTATGTGATGAAAAGTTTTAGATTATTTTTACGTGGTAGAGCCATGCTGCAGCTATATTATGGTTGTAGCACGAATGGGTCGGCTCGACCGGGGAGGGACCACGCTCTCACAGAATATCAGCGTAAAATAGCAGCTTAATACTGCTGTGTTTCGTATGGTGAGTGTAGAGATCCGGAAATCCTTTTTTACTGAAAACGAGGCATTCCATCTTAGTCCTCAGGGGTAACAACGCATCTGCGTTTTGATTTTTAATCGAGGATAAATGTAAACTGTCTATGGACCACAGCATCCTCTTACCATCAAGTGGACTGTGTGCTCGTTTGTCACACATATTCTATTAAAAAAAAAGTTGATGTAGGACTTATAGGTCTCACGTTTGTGTGGCTTATAACAAAAAAGGATGTGCGCACTGTGTTATTTGCCTAACATGGCGTAAAAGGCGACTGATGTTATATTAGGTTCTTGATTGCGTAGGCGTTGGTACGGCCACGTATCAGTTTTTTCACAATTTTCCATCTAAACCCATGTTTTTCGCTAAACGTGGCCCGAGTAGCTCGCTACCCTTTGGACTCTGCCTACTCGCTTGGGGATTACAGGCGTGTTGCTTTGCCTCTTACAAAACAATGGGACAAAATATGATGATATATTTTCTTACATTGACATAACACGTCAGTGGAATAGCATTTTTATCGGCCTGCAAAAAATGAAAATAAATTGGATATCTTCCATTTTAAAAAATAATTTTGTTCAAGTGTGTCTTTAAAATAATCATCAACAACAAAATTATAATAGTATGCTGGATGTTTGTTGATAATTATAATATTATTGAACGATCACACGCATGCACGCATACACACGCACACAAATAAATACATAATATACATACACATACGCGCGCACACACTTCTCTTTTATAAGTTTTTCTTATATAATATCTTCTGGCACAGGTTTTATTACACTTACAAGATACTTAACTATGTTTTATTTGCTCAATAAAGATTTTATTATTATTATTATTATTTCTAATGGAACACTTTATATTTGTTATTATTGACTCATCATTATATTAGCAACGAATTGTCTTGCATCAGGCGGAGAGGGGAGCAATAAGTTTAAGATAAGAAAGCCATGGGTAGCTTGCCTCAGCGACAATAAGAAGATATGGAAGGAGCAAGCTGCCAAAGGTAAGTTTTTTCCTAATTATCTAATATTTTAACTTCATAGGTGAAGGTGATTCACCTCCGTTAAATCTTTGAACCATTTCACGACACCAATGAACACGACGGAGTTTTTCCTGCTAAAGCTTCCTGACCGTTAACTGTTCATGGAGGATTTTGTACACTTGACTCATTCCGATGCCTAAGCTTATCTGAATCTGCTGATAAGTCACTCTTTTGTCAGTCTAAATCATACGCCGCACAACATAGATGTTATCTTCAGTCGTCGCCGTAGAAGGCCATCCCTCACGCAGATCATCTGTGAGATTATGCGACCACGTTTAAACTCATTAAACCAATTGTAAACAGTGGCACGAGATGGGGTTTCATCGTGAAAGGCCAATCAAAGTCTATCATAACTTTCTTGTTGACTTAAATGACATCGAAAGTCATAAAAATCATTGTACGAAAATTTTCTCGCGTTAAATTCGTGCTGACGTGACACAGACAATTTTCAATTGGCCGCCAAATCGTAAACAAATGACAAATTAATAAAATACTTACACAATAATATTGGCACAGAGTTCCATTTTCCTTACTTTTTAAACTCTCCTAACTTATTTTTTTTATCGTTTACAAGTGGCCAGTTCTAATAACTTTCAGTGTCGCCCTCGTACAAAAAAAAATGTGTATTCTTAGATAATTTACAGACTATACAACAATGACATGTTTTCGCAGATGCGGAAGCCCGAGTAATGCTGGAAGAAGAGAGCAATGGAGTACAACCAGTAACAACGGAAGAATAATATTTAGCCACATTTGTAAATAGTGTTAAAAGTTCTTGTTACAACATGTTCCACTCATTGTTTGACAAAGGCTAAGCAATTGTATCGATATTCGTGCGAGATATCGTAGTTACGCTTCTTCGCATTTAACATTGCTATTAGTTATTCGGCTGATTTGAATCTCAAATGCGGGTAATTAGATTACATTATAATTTAATTTAAGATTTCCTAATAAATAGTAATTTATTAAGTGTTCGACTTATGAATTAGATCTACATTATTATCAGTTAAAGGTGAGGAGGTCCTATACTTTCAATCCTTTGAATTTTTTTATTCAACTAAGCAGAGTTGAATTATAAGAATGTGAAAGACCCTTTTTCAATGTTTTTACTACATACATATGTTCCTTTATTACTTTTACAGACACTCGCGGTTCAAAACAGCCAAATCTTAGATAATATTCTGTGTAATCATAATCAATAGCACAATTTAGAGGCGAGTTTCCACCAGAGCGAAAATGATAGAAAATGGGTATTGCATTTGTCATTTGTATGAAACATGTAGTCTTTTCTTTGTATAATATACTAGCGATTCGCCCCGGCTTCGCACTGATGATTTCTGCGCCACCGGGTCCATATGTGAATATAAAACATCTAGGGACCCATTCAAACACACAAAAAAATTTCATCAAAACCGATTAGATGGTATCAAAATCTATAAAGGACATAGGTAGAAACATTTTTTTATGTTTTATACATATAAGATAAAAACCCACCTCACAGTTTAACTTAACTGAGGTTAAGTGGTAACTACTTTTGGACATCTAAAACCAACTTCAGGCAAAGATTTACTTGCTCCGAGGACGTAGATGATATGTCTGTGAGAATCGGAGAATGTAAATATATAATTATATGTAGTGCTACTGTTTGGCGGTAGAAATAAGAAAGATGGTAGTACCAACTCAAGCGGACTAAAGCCAGAAAACATGCCTAGTATTCTACTAGTTAACCGCTTTAGTGCAAACCCACCCTAAAATATGATTGTATTAAATTCTCAATGTGGAAGACATCGTAGTGAGGTATTCAAACCGGCGAGTCGCTTCTAGCGAGCGATTCTAACGCCAGTAGCGTAAATCATATTATCAAATATTAAGATTAGCATAAGTTAGTCTGTAGAATCATATAATATAGTGCGCCTTTGTTGATTGTGAGTCAAATGTAAACTCGCGTAGATCAAGCCCTTTAGCTAAGGCTAAGAACACATTATCGAGGGTCTGATCATCAGTGATGCATTTTGTAGTTCAATTTTCATTGACTAATTGATCAAACAAACAGTAAAACATAGTTCAAAGTCGTTTTTAAAGACCGTGTCGTAACTAAAGTGGTGAAGTGTAGCCACTCAAGCGAATTTGGTCGAGACAAAACAAAACCCTGTGATGAAAATTTATTCTGAGTCTCTCGTTAGAAATTTGGTAGGCACAGTCAAGGATATTTTTGGTATACACATTACCATTCCGTATTACGAGAACATCATGAAAACCGAAATAGATAAGCGATCATATCTGGACCTGACTCAAGAGGTAACCGATATGTGAGGTGGTCTGCGGACAGAAATTATTGCTGTAGTAGTTTATGGAAACAGGCTAATGCCGGTCAGCCTCTCGGGTCATCTGAGGCGATCGGGTCTACGTGACGAATCGCTCCGGGCTAAGATGCAGAAGACGGTGCTTCTCGATACCACCCGTATCGTCCACCGGTTCCTTTAGCCTTTGGGGAACGCATGCATATGCCTACTCCCCTCCAATATGAGTTGCTTTAAGCTAACATTAAACCTTTTTAAAAATTATTTATAAATAAAATAAAAGTTGTGCGTCTCGCAGTAGATCAAAGGCGGTGAACTAGCAGTGTCATTAGCGTTTATTGTGAACTACTCACATTCTGTAGCACACAAAATATCTAGATGTTAAGAGACAAAATGTACCTATAATGCTGGTATTGGAGCAAACATACATGAAGTACTTATCTGTCGTACGTATACATTTCCTATAAAGCAAACATATTTAACTTATTCAATATAAATATAATGTATCATAATTAGTTTTAAAAATTAACCCATATGAAAAATACGCTTATTAATTTTAATGTTTCCGATAAAATTGGAGTTCTGATATTCCCTGACCAAGTGTTGTCTATACGTGAAAATATTTTTTAAATTATAATATCACAATCTCAAATATTAGTTATAGGTAGAGCATTATTATGCTATTGCGGAACTATTCTTGCTGTAGAATTAAAAGCTCTTTTGATTATTTACAGAATAAGTGAGAAAGTACCTAGATGTATTTGTATATTACTTATACATTGTAATGTCATAAACGATCACGCTCAAAGCACTTTTTTCAAATGAAAATAATAATATAAATACATATATTAAATCAGACTGAAGGTCAAGGGAATTTATGTAGAGCAGGATTTAGGCCTGTGAGGGAAGTCAAACTATAAAGGACCCAGTATAAATATACCGTCCTTGTTGTAGACAGTCTTTTGGCATGAAAAATAAGGGTATTCTTGTGACATAAAACACTTAATGTGTGCTTTCACAGGTGCCAAAATATAGGATGAAACTAAAAGTCTATACTGGAATAATCATTATATTATACACTCTTATCGGAGGCCTAGTTTTGCAGGTAGGTACATGGGACCACTCTCTTTGAATATCAAATCAAATCCATAATCATGCTAAATTTAGGTCCCTATTTATGATTTCAGGGATGGTAAGGGTAGATTATAATCCAACTGGTGACGCTTATAGTAGAGAATTTTACAATAGATCTTTTATATATTTATCGTCTATTTAAGCAATAGATTTATAAATGAAATCTGTATATTGTGCATTTAGAATATCTACATAAAGTTAGGCACAAGAGTAGCCCACCATAAATAAGTAGATTACTAATGCCATTATTATTGGGGATATAGCTTTATAAACATGTAGATTAGCGTAAACCAATTCAAATTTTGGTATCTTGTCAAAATCAAAAGTGAAATACCTAAACAGTTTATTTTCCTTTGACCAAATACGTCAAGAATGTTTTGTTTTAATTTTTTTATGATGTTTTAAAGTTTTTTTTAAAACAAGTTATAATAAAACTGTTATTTTTCATTGTCACATTATCATCAACCCTTTTTCTTAATGGAGGAAGGCGGATAAGAGATCCTACTCCACACTTTTGACTCCGCTCCTCGTATTGAAGTCCTAAGCTCACAAGTCCCATTTTATATCCGGCATATTATAACATGACGATAATGCCATGTCTTGAAGACCACATGAACTTTCAGGAATTTTCTTACAATCCATTATAGGACGATTTGTGGTAATGCAGAGTAAAGCATAGAAAGTTTAACTTGAAAAGTACAGTATAGGTATGGGGTAATTGATTTCCATTTGCCAACCACCACATGTTTATGTTGTTCTCATAAATATCAGATTGACTACTGTCATAAATATGAGAATCCATAATGCTTAATCAGCCTAAAAAATATATATATATATATATATATATATATATTACTTTATAGATAACTTTTATAGTGTTGTAAAGTTTCATAATATTAAATGTCTTAGTAAAGTATGATCGTTTTATATAATTAATTATAAGATTAGAAAATAAAATTAATTCTAAAAATATAAAAATAACAAAAAAGAAATTGACTCATCCAAAATAATCTTCAAAAGTATACAATCTATTTTGAAGCAAAATAGTCTTTAAAGGGCAAAATCCTATTTTTCTTAATAATGTTTCTGTTATATCTTGCAAAACCAGAAAATGTTAGGAAATAAAATAAATATACCTCCACATTCCACTAAATTACTTTCTTGCCTTAAAATAATTCTAATGAATTACAAATTGCCACTTTAATATAGCGTAGTTATATGTCCAATTTTGTATAACTTTTAAGGTATCTATACTAAATATATAAATAGAACTAACATCTCCAATGTTGTTTGTAACATTCCATAACATATTATAGAATTGTCATAATAAAAAAATCTTTTACACCAATGTATTATGTTGTGTTGGCTATATTTTATGAAGTAAAAAATAATCAACATATTGTTGATTTATTTATAGCCTTTCAGCTAGACATTTATTTCACTATATTATAATTCTTTACATATCCATCCACAGTAATATTATATTTAAGCTTTTATATGTAAATAGAATAGATAAAATTATACTGTGAATTATTGTGGATTTGCCTAACATGTTTCTTTTCCTATGTATGATTTTTATAATCATTATGTACAATGTTTGTGTGAAATCTCAATATTTTTAAGTTATTTTTATTAATAATAAATTATTTCTATCTGTAAATAATAAGCAATCAGATACTATTAATATTAAAATTATGTGTAAAATGAAATAAAGATTTTAGTAGAAACTTTTTGTATTTTCATTTATCTTATGTACTATGCACAGCATTTTTTTGATTTAAAATTACATGAATGTGACATTAACTCTTATAATAAATGGCTTTAGAAAGACTAATAATATTATCTGCTTAGCAAAAACATGTTTACATATTTTAATACATCACTTTATTACCTATAAGGAAATAAAGCAATAGTCCGATATTTATATCGTACATTTATGCACTGTCTATAAAAAGCCAAACATAACATAAAATAACCCATTGAAAAGATGCTCAAAGATATAAAACATCTTTAACTGAGAATATATTTATGAGTTTTACCAAACACATTTATTTGCACTGAAAGTCCTCTCACATCAGTTTTTAACCGACTACATGTGATTGTGCCTTCAATTACATCTCCCTTCTTTACTTCCTTGCAATCCTTAAAGTAAAATATAGTTTGTTTCCAATGGGTTGGCGTTGTGTGCGGTCCAGTTGAAAAGGTCACTGGAGTTGGTAAGTCAAAGAATGTGTCAAAATAACCAACGAGCGATGTAACAAACCCATATTGTGTGACACATAGTTTAAATTTAGATGTGAAGTCTACTATGCCAGTGTTACATGTGTTAAGATCAATTTCTTTTACAATGCAAGGCTCGGAAATAACGTGTTTTGATGCAACTACTTCAACACTAGCTTCTCTAACTACTTCTGATTTCATACAATTCATTTTGTATCCATAAACATCTGACCAGAAGTTAATGAGTTTCTTATGTGTATCAATATCTCCATTTGCAACCAAACTTATATTACACCTATTAGGTAATAAAATACCATCAGGGTTTAAACAGTTATCTCTTGCGTATATAACACTATCTAACATCCCTTCGAATAATAGAAAGTATCCCATCCATTCCGAAACTATAATATCTACTTTTTCATCAAGTTTTGTGTTTTCAAGTCTACCTTTAATAGTTTTTATTTTGTTAGTAAAGTTGTTTTCTCTAATAATATCCATAGCATGGTAAATGACCTCCGACTGGTCTAAAGCATATACTATCCTAGACTCAGCTGTTGCACAAAACATAGATAGAATACCAGTTCCACAGCCTAAGTCAAGGACTATTTTATCCTTGAAAGTGTCTTTGTTGAGAAATATTGCATTTTTGTAGCTTTCAGTTCGAACTTTATCAGAGAGCATATCATAATGAATACCAAAATGAGCATAACTACTGAAATATCCCTCATCACTTTCTAATGGTACTTTGGAAACACAATCAATAATCATTGTGCTGTCAGTACCACAGGCATCACTATTTCCTTCCACAATTGTTTTCATTGAACTTTGCATCTTATGCATATCTTCCCTCGCCATCTGAAGATGAGTCTGTGACTCCTTAAGTTGCTCGGTTAAATTTTGTATTGTCCTCTGAAGCTCAAGAAAATGTGCTTGTGATAATGTAACTAATCCATTCTCTACATTCGCGTGGTAAGATTTAGGAGGGCTAACACTTTCAGCCAATGATTCGAAATCAAACATTAACCATTCATCGTTATCGACAGGCTTTAGGTACTTTTCGTCGTTCCATTGAGCTGTACTAAAACTCATTATGTCTTCTGCTTTTGGTTTATGTGTTTTAATATAATTTATTAACTGTATGTATGAATAGCAATCCATGTTAAATTTTGATTTTAGTGCGCTGAGGTTAAAGTTATGGTCTTTTTCACAGTGTGAGACACATTCTTCTATTGTAGGCAGAACAGATGTGCAAAACAAACATGTTACTGACTGGTTGTTAGCGTCCATTTCCTGCCATTCCTCTTCATCGTAATCTTCATCACTGCTAAGATCCGGAACGTCAGACATAGTATATTAACAAAACTGTACTGAATATTCACAATTTCTTAAAGTAAAAACACAATCCAAGAACTCGCACACTATCGCCATGCGCACATGCGGTAAAATAAATACAAATTACAAGTGACATGTGACAATTACAATTTACAATGTATGTTCCGAAATACAACCCAGTACACTGTCCAATGCAAATGACGTCATGAATAGTCGCTATACTGGTGATTCGTTCCAAAACATAGGACAGTACATGACGTCATACGTTTGCGCGATATTGGAAAAGTGTTGGCGATTATTTTGTCATTTTGTGCTCCAAAAATCATTATATCCTCCTAATAGAGATACCAGCAATTATTCTATAATTTTTTGTATTCGAATAAATAAAAACAAATTCTGGCATGCTTCATTCAGCGCACACACAATTAAAAATTGTTTTATTGTGGCCGGATATCCGACGCAATATGGCGGCGGCACGCCAGTACAATAACGTGTCAATTGATGACGTCATTTGCATTTGCCAGTGTACTGGGCTGTATTTCGGGAACATACCCTAATGATGACATTGACATTTGAAAGTGACAAAAATGCTTGTTGCCAGTTCAAATGCAAGAATTATACACTTACTCAAAAAATACTATCTGATGATATAGTTTGTGATAAAAATACATTATTTTTAACTCACAATTTGACTTAAACGTACTCATTATCTCGTTGCTTAATCAATTTATTAATAAATCACAAATTTAGCATTTAAGTCTTGGTTGCTTGATCCGTTCCGTTGGACGAACTTAGCATAGTAGCATTTTGTAAACAGAAATTGCTTAAGAATACTTATTTTACACGTTTCATCATCATCATCGTTACAGCCCTTCACAAGTCCACTGCTGAACATAGGCCTCCCCCAAGTAATGCCACAAAGCACGGTCCTGATCCACCTGCATTCATCAACTTCTTGAATGTCTTACCAGGTCGTCACTCTAATTAGTGGGGGGTGACCCTACACTACGCCTACCGGTACGAGGCTGCCACTCGATAACCTTTCTTCCCCATCGGTTATTGGTTCTTCGAGCTATATGGCCGGCCCATTGCCACTTCAGCTTACTAATCCATTGGGCTATGTCGGTCACTCTGGTTTTACTGCGGATATCCTCACGTATACACGTTTATTTAAATACATTTTTTTCTGTCTAGAACCTAAAAAATAGGGTTTAGGTGATCATCATATAAATTGACTACAAACAATTGCAACACCTTAGTTTCTATGGTTACTGATAAAACAAAAACATCCTTATTATTTTTAATGACTTGTTATTTTAACTGTTTACTATACATTATTACAATAAAAAAATATCAGAAATAAAACTATAAAAATGAGATTAAAAGCTTCATCTCTTAAAAATCCAAAACATGTTGGAGCTGTGATCTGTGTTGGGTGGAATAGTCCAGAAGATGTTTTTTCTTGCGGGTAACTAACCGATAACACCATTTTTATTTATATATTTGGTTATTTTGCATAATGTGCGTGTTTTTTTTAATTATTAACAACAAGCTGAAGTGAGATTTGTTCATTTGTATGAACAAAATCACCTCTTTTTATTCGCATTATAAGGAAAGATGATAAGTAAAATGATAAAGGAAACTAACGTCTGTAAATTAAGTGTAAGCAAGACATAGCTATTCCTGCTTTTTTTATATAAGAGGGGCAAACGAGCAGGTGGCTCACCTGATGGTAAGTAACTACCGCTGCCCATGTACTACTACAACACCAGGGGAATTTTAAATGTGCTACTGATAGTCTATTCCACAAGGAAGTTAAGCGAGGAAGAAAACTTTTAGTAAATCACACAGGGGATTATGATATGCGGTGAACGGTTAATGGTATAATGTTATGTAATAATCATCATTAAAACCACAAGTCTAGTGCTAAACAAGGCCTCGCCTAAATACTGCTACATTTACAGTTTATTTAGCGGTAAGAAGCTGCCCTTTGAAAAACTTTCTTCTCTCTTATGGATTGCCAGTTCTTAGTAATATGGCTAGCCCGTTGCCTCTGCTCTGGTTCTACTACTGAAAACTTCATTTCAAATTCTATCATAGATAAATTTTGACCATAATAGTTCTCTTTATAGGTTGATAAGTAATAGATAACTAATAATTTCTTAAAATAATACTAGTTTTTGCGGATTTTATGGTGTATATTTAAATTGTTTAACTACCCGACTTTTCGAGCACTTTACAGCACCTATAGTCACGGGAGAGACAGTCTCCCCCGTTACCGGGGGTGCTGTAAAGTGAGACAAGGCTGGTTACATCTTGAAGCGAGCTTCCATTAAATATACTACTAGCCGCCGAAAAAAAATTAGTCGATTTTTACCATCCATCAAATGTTATATTCCTCTACAAGATGCAGGAGTGTACAAGCAAGGTTGTGAATGCTGTCTCTCTTACATAGAGCAAACAAAAAGATCTATACAAACCCACGTGAAAGAACATATAGCTGACGTGAAGCACCGATGCTCCGGGAAGTCTGCGGTCTGTGAACATGTTCAAAATCGTTCCCACCATTACATCAGATTTGATAAACCACAAACCCTTGCAAAAGAACACCGATTCCTACCAAGGATGATACGCGAGGCTATCGAAATTAAAAAGCATCCTAATTTCAATAAAGAAGATGGATGGGTGCTGCCACCTGCTTGGGATCCTATAATTAACAAAATTAAACCCAAACACAAGCATACCGCTGCAAGACTTGAAGATACTGTAAGTTCTGCGTAGATCGGACCAAAAATTAATATTCAAAAACTGAAGGAAGCCGAGCTAACTAATACATTGATACGTCAAACATCTCAGTCCCCCTCCCCGTGACCATGGGTGCTATAAAGCGCCCGGAACGTCGGGAATTAAAAATAAGTTATTAAACGTGATAAAATCCGTAAATATATTCAATAGATAAATAGTTCTAGTTATCATTTTTTGTTGACTGCTGATGATTTTTCAATAAAAAACCCAGTAGGGAACGCTAACATGCAATTTTTTGGAAAATTTCTTATACTCACCACACTAGGGAAATTTGTTTTTTATTTTTATATTTCAGCAAACATCTAAAAATCTATGAAGAATTTTCAGATATAGTAAATGGAAGAATGATAGGTTATTTTAAAGTCTTTAATAAAAAATAAAAAACATTTCGTATTTTCTTTGTTTTAAATAAAAATGTTTATTTTATTAATCGCCGTAGAAAATTAGTATGATAATAAAAATTCATTTCTTTTTATAAAACTATTAATTTTAATTAAAATTGAAAAAATCTTATAAAATCTAATTATTAATAATCATTGTGCCAATACTTACATTAATTACACATTGACATCGATTATTCATACTTAAAATTTAAATTTTAATGTCTTGCTGCGGAATAAGGCCCCATGTTCATTGCAAGTGTTCGTAAAGTTATTGTTCTGTCGTCAAGTTTCGCGGGAAATATCTCAAAGCCTTCCGATTTAACACGTCCCAGGCTTGCTCGATAGGATCGGAGAGCAGCCGACACCAGCCGCACCGCGCCGTATGTGAAGAAGCATTATGGTGCATGAGTAGAAAATCCTGGCCCATATGTATTATGAAGTTACCTTGGATCCAAACGAGCTGGGTTCGTTCGTCGAGACGAATTCCTGCCCACACCATTATTATCCCGCCATGGTATTAGTGGACCTCCTAAAGCCTAAAGGGTGCCGTAAAGGGCTAACTCTCCCTGGAGCTCTCCAAACGCGTGTTTTTCGTGAATCCGGATGAAAGCCAAACCATGATTCATCGGTTAACAACACCAAAGACCATTGTTCATCACTCAATGGTAAAAGCTCCCAAGCCCACGAAATACACCGACCGCGATTGCCATGTCGCAATGTTGGAAGACGTAGCGGTCTTCGAGCAGGAAGACCAATTTTATGCAACCTCTTTCGCACGGTTTGGTCGCTTACCGAGCTGGGTTCTTTCTTGGTGGTCTTCCTGGAGCCTTTGTAGTAGTTGCATCGCTGTGATATTGGGTTGATGTCTGGCGGACGTTTGCAGAAATCGATCCTATCTCTGCGTAGTAACACGATGTATTTTAGCCAATCCCCATTACTGCGATAACTTGACCACTAACATGATATCACGTTTTGGCTGGTGTGTAGGGCCTCAGCAACGACGAGTTGAATAGCGCCATTTTCTAACATGCCCACACGGTTCTTAACATATTCATCTCGACTCTAATAACGACGTAACATAACTCTTAAAGTTCACACGGCGCGTTACATAAAAAAATAAAAACAATCTAATCCCTTTTCATTAATAAACATCAGTTCGAATTACTAACAATTTTGCCGCCGTATTTTTTTTATTTACTTTTTAAAATTTTGAAAATAGAATAAAAGAGGTTTCAACCTGTATATAAAATTTGTATGGAAACTAAAAAGATTTTAAACTATAAAGTCGTAAAGAATTTAAGATTAAGGTTTCCATAGATTCTGTTGATGTGTTTAGTTCCACCATCATTTCGCATAGCCACAATTCCACCTTCATTCATCATTGATTCATTAGAGCCCATCGAAACTCCACCACTAAACATAGATCTCCCCATAGAATACAATAATACATACATAATAGAACGGGGGAGTGGGCGGAGTCCGTGTAGCCACTAAAATGTCACTAACATTTCAATTCACACCTATAAATGTCAACACAATCAATCGTTTTCAATTTTCGAATCAAGCGTCGCTGCGTGTAAATTATTTAAAAAACGGCAAATTGTGCAATAATTACGTATCGAAAGAACAGCGAAAAATGGAAAATAAATATAGGAGACATATCCTACAACCAGTAATTCGAAACTATTTATATTTTGTAAATATTAGAAACAAAAACAAAGAAATATTGATGTGTGGAAAACATAAATCAAAAGTCGTGTAATCTCAGTCTGTCTTTTGACAGACTGAGCGAATTTACACTACAAACCCTCTGAATACAGCGGTATACAGCAACGACACCGATTCTCTTACAAAATAAGATTGACAGCCATTCTATTGTGTATTATAGTATTTTATGGATCTCCCCCATAAATTGCTTCATAAGGAGGATATTTTCCATAGTTGCTACGCTTTTTCGTAATTTGTAATTATAATCAGGAAGATGCTACTCCCCATCTCCTGTTCCATTATTCTACGTCTCCGCTTACGATAACTACGAGATAATATTAGGTAGTGGTTCCTTAGGCCACTACACAGCTATTTTATGTCTCATTATATTATCAAAAAGTTAAAATTATACTAAGGTTTTATATGGTGGTTTAATTTTTAAGAGATGACCATAAGCTCCTAAAATGGAACCTTGCAACCAATGAATGCATGACTGTTGCCACTTTTGCTGATGAATTTTTTCCAACTGGATTACATTTATTTCCAAAATTAAATATCACAGGAAAAAAGGCGAACAGCGAAGGTATTTTGATTTCGTCGACTGATGGCAAGTAAGTAATATTATTAATTATAATAACATTTAAACATATTTACCAATTGTTACAGCCTATCAAAAGTCCGTTACTGAGCACAGGCTTCGGGGGAATATTTGCCATAGTTACCACACTTGACGTGCGGGTTGGCAATCGAAGACTTTTATTACTTTAGGTTGTTTTCAGGAAGATGCTGCAGCCTATGCGTTGTTTCATTTCCTTCTTTTGAATGATATGAGGAAGCAGGTTCTCAGGCCTTTAGACACCCGTATTAGTTTAAAAACAAACATTATTTCACGCGTAATAGCAAGATCATAAAAATAGCAGTCTATTGAATCAAATAGAGTGCTCCTATAATGTATTTTCATAATTACTTTTCAAATATGTAAAGTAATAATTAAATCTGTAATTTTTCAGTTTATCAAATTAATATTTCATATATCAAACGTCATATTTTTGGGTTTACTTGGTAATTTTTGTAAGTAAAATCGGCGAATGAAAGTGCATAGATGTCGTCAGTTTGCCTCTATTTTGTCGTTTTTAACACTGACAATAAGTTGATGTAGTACTGGGTAAGAAAGACATCTTTTTTTTAACAGATTCCATATATTAAACTACAACGGGCGTATTGAAAAAAGCATAAATGCGCATCAAGGTGCATGCCTTATCGCGTTATGGAGTCCTAATGCTGATGGAATTTTAACAGGTATTTATCCTATAAGTGGTTTGAAAGATACATTATGTTTTTAACTTGATTGTTTGTGTTTTTTTTTCAAACATACCAGTTGATAAAGCTTTAAAAACACAAAGAGAGAGTGAGAGAAAAAAACAGAGATAAAGCGAGAAAAAAGACATAAAATAAACATACATAAACACTCACGCCCGTCACCCAGAGGGGTAGGCGGAGACTACGGACTTCCATTTGGCACGGTCCTGACATACCTCTCTCGCCTCCTTTAAATCCATATATCTACGTATACACGCTCGTCGGTTAAGGGTATTTCCATTGTGGCCCATTTTCAAAATATCGCCAATTTGGTCGATAAACTTTCTTCTAGGGCGTCCCTTCCCGACTCTGCTGTTCACATCTGCCATATAAATTTGCTTTGTCACTCTTTCCTCATTCATTCTTTCTACATGACCAAACCACCGAAGTTTTCTTAATCCTGGTCCCAGCATCATCTTGCATACCACATTTTTCTCTTATGACACATACTTCTTATAGACCGCATTTCTACAGCATTTATTCTACTTTCGTGCTTCCTCTGTTACACCCAACTTTCACTACCATACATTAAAGTAGGGATTAACACAGCATTATGAATTACCACACGTGCCTTTTTTACACATTCTGATTTTTCATAATAGAGTGTAGTGCCCATTCACTCTATTTCCTGCATTCACTCGTCGTTCTATATCCTTATCATATCTACCATCCCTGCTAAATACACATCCCAAATACACGAACTCATCCACTTGCTCAATCAACTCCCCTTGTATTCTTATTTCACATAACGTTTTGCTTTCTTCTCTTTCAAAACTTGCGTTCACTTTCATTCCCCTTTCTTTTAATGACCTGTTCATTAATGTAACCATCATTAGCAACTCAGCCGTTGACGACGCAAATATAACTAGATCATCGGCGTACAAAAGGCATTTGCTGGTTAAATCGCCCATTCTTAACTCACATTCTTCATCCTTCAAAGTTCTTCCATAAATTTATATTTTATGCGTAGTAGAGCCATGCCGCAGTTATATTAGAAGTATAGTTGTAGCGCGAATGGGTCGGCTCGACCGGGGAAGGACCACGCTCTCACAGAATACCAGCGTGAAACAGTAGCTTAATGCTGTTGTGTTTCGTGTGGTGAGTGTAGAGAACCGGAGACCCTTTTTACTGGAAACGAGGCATTCCATCTTAGTCCTCACGGGTGACAACGCATCTGCATTTTGATTCGTAATCGAGGATAGATGTAGATGTCTATGGGCCACAGCAACCACTTACCACTGTAACTTAACTTACACGGTGGACTGTGCGCTCGTTTGTCACCCTATCCTATAAAAAAAATATTCATACTCCACATTCTTCCATAAATAAATTGAACAGTCAAGGGGAAGCTACACAGCCCTGTCGAACACCTTTTTGGATGTCAAACCAGTCATAGTAGACCCCGTTGATCCTGACACAAGCACTAGAGTCCCTATAAATAGACCTTAATGCCTGTATCAAATCTGCGCTCAACCCAAATGAGTTCAGTGTTTGCCATAAAGTTTTGGCATCATTCATTGCCAGTGTAGTCCTGTCCACTCTGTCATAAGCCTTCCAAGTCCATGAACGCACAAAAAACTTTTAGGTTTTTGGCCAAAAACTTCTCTGCAATCATGCGCAAGGAAAATACTTGATCTGTACACCCTATTCCCTTTCTAAATCCTGCTTGCACAGTCCAAATTTTTCCATCACTTTCTCTCATAACTCTTTCAATTAACATCTTAGCATACAGTTTACGCACAATACTAAGCAAGCTGATACCACGGTAGTTTTTGCAATCCTGCTATGACCCTTTTCCTTTATATATTGGTATTATAACTGCTTTACACCAGTCTTCCGGTACCCATTTCATTTCCCAACATAAATAAAACAAGGTGTACAGCAGGTCTGCCACCACTCCCTCTACAGCCCTTAGCATCTCAAGTGATACTCTATCATATCCAGCTGCTTTACCCGCTTTCATGCTTTTCATTGCTTTCATTATTCCATCTACACTTATCTCCATACCCCTTTCCACTTCTTTCGGAATTTCTAGTTCATTTATTTCAGATTACTGTTCATTCATAAACACGCTTTCAAAGTATTCCTTCCATCTCTTTAAATACGAAACTTCGTCACTCAGAATAGCAGTTTTTGTCTCGTATAGCATTCATTCAAGGCTGTTTTGTATTTCCCTTGGCAGTTCTTACGAGTTTCCAGAACATTTAAATATTAGCTTGGTAGTTATCAGATATCTTTCTATCATTCCTATCCGTTCTTTCTTGCTTTTTCTTTCCAAATACTTCTTTTACTCTCTTATTCAGACGCTTACCGCATTATTACCTGCTTTGTTTGCTAGTAAATCTAACCATGTTTTCTTCTTTGCTTCAACTTCCACCTGTGCTTCGTCTTCCGTAACGTATTATATTTCCTTTCGTTTGTTCTTTTACTTACACCACATACTTCGATGGCTGAAAAACCTTTCTTAACATTATCCCACACAGTATTCAAGTCTAAATTTTAATCATTCATACACAACTCATTCAAACCATTAAAATAAATTATGACATATTACAAATAAAATATTTTCCCTCAGTCCACACTTATACTTCTCTTTCACATCTTCATCTTGTAACTTCTCTATTTTTATACGTTGTAACGCAATGGTAGACACAGATGTCCGATGCCGCCAACGCTTGAATAGACCATTAATTCGACATAAGACCAAGTAATGATCCGTCCCTACGTGGGAACCCGGTAAACCCTTGTATCTACGACTGCGCTCCTCATTCTTTCATCCACAATTATGAAATCTATCATGTTTCCATTATCACCTCTTTCCCATGCATACATGTGAATCTTTTTATGACAAAAAAATGTTCGTCACAAAAATATACTTTTTCACACATACGGTGAGGAGATCTCCACCATTCTCATGTATACTTTCATCACCAAACGTTCCCAATATCACTTCATAACCAGACCTCTTCACCCAACCCATCCATTAAATTCTCCTAACATTATAATATTTTCATTTTCCTTACATTTCATCAACACCATTCTTACCATGTTCCAAAACTGCTCTCGGATATAAGTGTAGTAAGTACATCCCTAGGCCAAACAGCTTCTTTAAGCCCACTTTCATCCGTATCCATAGCAGCCTCGGGCTTAAACATTCATTCTCTTTAACACATTGACCCATTCTTTCTGAAAGGATGAAACCCTGGCATGCCCGCTCAGTCTCGTCGACACCAGACCAATACGCGGTATATATGCCATGTGCGCAGTGGCATCTTTTCCCTTTCGTTCCGTCTCATTTACACATAACACATCTATTCCTCTGTCATTCGTCATTTCGCATGCTTAGTCCATCATATCATTCATTGTTCCACATACATTCAGCGTAGCCAGACGGGCTTCCGCAATCCACTTTTCGCCCTTCCGGGAGACTGAACGTGACGGGTGGCGAACCTCGTCGCCGGTTTTACTCTCGGAGATTATTCGCACCCCTGCTCCATTAAAAGGGCGCCGGAAACTCGTGCCCAAAAATATTTGAAAAACATTAAAAAAATGATAATGAAAATTTAATATTTTATATTTTTATTCTTATTTTACTATCTTATGTTTTAATAAACATTTAATATTTTTAGCTGGAGAAGACGGATGCGTAAAAGTTTGGTCTTGTAATGGTTTACTCAGATCCACTGTTGTCGAATCTGATGTACCATGCTATATGGCCGCATGGAGTCCAGATAGTAGTACGATATTATACACCAAAAGACACCATCTGGTTATTCATCCATTGCAAGCTAAATCAAAAATAACCAAGGTAATTTCCTATCTTCATAAATTCGAACCGAAAAAGTAAGAGGCTGGCAAGTATCTCTAAATATTTCAAAAAATGCACATTATTTTGATGGTATTGTCGGCATCCACTTAAGAATTTGTGAAGGTAGGTATACTTTTATACCGATCGACTGTCGAACGATACTTGTACGGTACTTGTGTGACTTCATATGTCTTTGAATTTTTTTTATCAGATACGCAGGTTTTCTCAAGAAGTTTTCCTTCAGCGCCGAACACCTGGTAAATCAGCACTTAAAATTGCAATTAACAGTCTTTGGTGCTGGCGGGGATCGATTCCGGGTTGCTCGCGTACTGTGAACTTTACAGCGAGGCTTAAGCTCATGAGTTATCACGGCTCTGTGTGTGCTCTGTCTGTGAGTTCTGTGTGTTTGTAGATATTCCTACCATCTTGACGACTGATACTAATAGTTAGAATACCTGGCTATTACTGATTCTGCGAGTCCGATAATAGAATTCCAGTCAGAGTTGACGTTTCTTTAAAAAAAACACCGAGTGTCAAATAACCCACTTTGTTAAGATAACTTCTGTTTTAATAGTAAACTATATAGAGTAGTAACATTATGAAAACGCAAATAAAAAGCTTTCATTTTAACATCTATTTTTCAGTGGTGGGCACATGAAGCTGTTATTTTGTCAGTTGCATGGAACGCAAGCAATAATTTAATCGTGTCCGGTGATGAAGATGGCTATATAAAGGTCGGTATCTAGAACGTAGTGATTACGGGTATTAAATGCTCTTTGTTTAGTTTCCTCGACAATATTTAAGGTATTACAAACATTCTAACTCTTTACGTTTTTATCACACTATTTTTATTTTATCAGGTTTGGGATACATTCCAGCAGCTAATTTTTTCGACGAAGGAGTTCCTACAACCTTGCACTTCTATAAGTTGGTCACCACATGGAGATTTATTCGTCGCTGGTAGCTTCAATAAAATGTCACTTCACAGTGATGATGGTGTACGTTTGATTAAAATATAAAAGTACAGTAGAATCACACTAATCCGGCACTATAAAAGACCAGGATGTGACGGATTACGGGAATGTTCGTATTACTGGAATGTATAGGGTGATTCGAGGTAAATAAAGCATTACATATGTAGTAATAAGACGATATGTATTTACATATTACATACATATATATAATTTTTATCTTATTAACTAATTTACCTTAAAATTGTCCTTAATTAAGGTCTGTTTTTTTAATAGCTTGTAGATTTTGTCAAAAAACTTTTTCTCGGAGGTTTTGAAGCACTTTAACATCCTTGCCAGATACGCCATTATCTTCAGCCCTTGTTATAAAGGTATTGATACAATTGAACGCCGTATCTGGTTTTATTTTCGCAGTAGTAGTTGGTGGCTCCAATATTTCTGTTATGGTTTTCCTCTTGCACCACTTCACATATTTCTTCATCTGTCAACATTTACTCTGTTTCTTCAGTGTCCCCATCAAACCAAGAATTTAAAGCTGCTTCGCTTTTCTTGTCCATCCATTCCATCGTCTTCACGCGTTCCTCAATCTTCTGTCTGTTTTTCTTAAGATCGTGTAAAGTAGCACGCCCAACTCCATACTCTTTAAACCAGTTTACAAATGTTTTCTCCACTAACTATTTTTTTTTAAATTTTCTCTTTCAAAGCTAAAATCTTATGTTTTTGTTTGTTCGACATCTTAATCTACGCTATTTTGATGACAAATCACTACTCGCACGACAGCAGGTACGTGTCGATCTTATATGCGCAAGCTTTCACTCATACTGGCCAGGTGAACATCAGACAGGAGCGGCGTAAGAGAAGCGCGGGTAGAGTTAGTGATGGAGTAGGGTGCCGGTCTACTAGACGCGCCGATGTACAGAAGTGCCGGAGTAGTGAGACTCTACTGTATATAGTTTTATAATAAATGTTATGAATTTTCTTATCTTTAATACATACTATTGTGACGACATAAAAATTTACCTTTATCTAATGTCAATATCGTAAAAGGAAACAAGTAAAATCCATAAATCTAAGAACATTTCCATTTAAAAAAAATCCTGTTATATAACAATAACAACCCTTGGGAAATCACAATATCTCATTAAATCCTATTTTAATACAGTGGCCGAATTCTTCACTGGATTTACCCGTGGGCAGCATATATAACGTCGCGTGGTCACCTGATGGCACTCAATTAGCGGCAGCTTGTGCTGATGGTCACGTTATCTTTGCTCATGTAATTGAAAGGTAATAACTGAACTATAAATAAATAATGTTAATATATATATATATATATATATATATATATATATATATATATATATATATATATATATATACTAAATTTGTAAGTTTTGATCATTACATTCATTTCAGCTAGGAACCGTTGTCTGATACTTCTGTAATAAGTATAATATGTTAGCCCAATCTAAACTAAAATAATCTTTGGCCTTCTTTAAAGTAGATTACAGTATTCTATGGGCTCCAGTAAATACTTACCATCAGATTGACTGTGTGCTTATCATCTTTGATTGTAAAAAAAATGGGACTAATACTAATATTTGTAGGATTTTCTATATTCACCTATATCGCTCTGCTCCCCGTCACCGACCAGCAATCATGGTTTTAAAATATAGAAAATACGAAATGACTATATTTCGCCATCTTTCGGAGGCCACGAGAGCTTTCTACCATTTCCTTTTACCTACTCATAGTAATGAACAAGGTCCAAGGACAACATTGTATACTTTATACGAAGCTATTTACCACACCTATACAAAATAATGCCGTTGTAATTCTCATTCGCACTTATTGTGTTGTTAGGAGGTACAATTGGAAGAACTTCAGTTGTACTCAAACGGGACGTAAGGTTTTAGCAATAAAGGATATAATCACTGAAGAGAACGATCAACTCGACTATCCAGACAGCGTCGTGCAAATCGCATTGGGATTCGACCATTTAGTGGTGGCCACGGTTAAGCAATGTTTCATACACAAACTGACATCTTGGAACACGCCAGTCACGTTCGACCTAAAGGATGGATCTGTGGGGCTCATTTTATTAGCGCAGAGGTAAATTAATATATGGTTCAAAAATTAATTTTAATTAGCTATGCCTTTTGCTATTATTTTAATCCAATCTTCTGAAACATATTTGCGTCACGAATAAATGTCCGCTATTTCTGATGACATTTTGCCACTTTTTATATGGTCCCTCGAGCCGGATGTTGCAGTAAAATAAAAGGTACTATAAAACTTACGCTAGTAAATACCCAGACCAATCACTGGCAGCGGCGTCAAAGGTGTGGTCATCTATAGTCTGCGCGGAAGTGCTAGTCATCGCGTCAAATTAAAAATTAAAGATTCATACAAGTCCATGTAATAAACTTGATGATGTTCCAATATCTTGTAACTGCCCTTACATAACTAAAACTAACACAATAAAATATTTGGGAATTATAATTGACGAAAAGCTTCAGTGGAAACATCAAATAATATCACTTAGTAAAAAAATAAGAAAGCTTGTCTATGTTTTTAAGTTACTAAGGCTTGTAGCAAGTCCAAAGTTATTGTTGCAAACTTACAAGACTCTCTGTGAATCTTTAATATGTTACGGTATCTGTTCATGGGGCGGGGCTTGTAAGACAATTCTTGTCGAAGCTGAACGTGCCCAACGATGTATTTTAAAAGTAATGCTATTGCTTCCATTTCGTTATCCAACTACACTATTGTATGAAAAAGCCCGAGTACTAAGCGTAAGAAAACTTTTTATCTATCAATGCATACGAAGGTACCATCGTATAACTGCACCATGTATCAAAATTGCAAAGAAAAGGACATTCAAATACCCGACCCCTAGAACTAGAAGTACTTTTGCGAAAAGACACTATAGTTACATTGCCCCGCATTTGTACAATAAGTTATACAGGGAATTTAAATTAAACTTAAATAATTACAGCAACCACCAAATAAAGGCAAGGATCAGAGTGTGGTTAGAGAATCTTGATTATGACAGCACAGAAGCACTTATGCCGTAGCTTTACCACAAGCAATACTCACACACATATATTCCAAAGCACACACACACCCACTCACACACTTACACACACACCAACACACGAACACACACAATACACACACACACACACACACAAAACAAGCGCTTAAAATAACATTCTTTTTATTTCTTATTTATATTTCTGTACTTGTTTAACTTACTAAATAACTAAATTATTATTATTATATAGAAATTGACCTTTTGACAAGGCTAACTTTATAGGGGAGGAACTGGTTCCTGAAACACAGTTATACTAGCTCAGGGACCAGGGAATCAATGAACATATGTAAAAAAGGTTGTAATTAAATAAATAAATAAATAAATAAATAAATCGCCTTAGGTATGCAAGCGGCGAGACGGGGGAGGACGCGATTGACAAGACGCACACGAGATATTTGAGGACAGATAAATCTCCGGATAACCATGTTAGAAACTGTCTTAATTAACATAATGGGTAAATTATTTATATTTTCCGGGCTAAACAAAAATTAACACGTATTTAAAAGCGTTAATTAGATTTTATTATTTATAATACAAAACAGTTTTCTAAACTCACCACCCAAATTAAACCTAAATTACCTTACTGCGAGAATTCTATGCTCGACCTGTGGGTTCGTATCACAAATAAGGAGGTTATTAAAACCTTGCGGTGTCTAGACATGAATAAAGCTAGTGGACCAGTTGGTATACCAGCTATAGTTCTATAGCGAAATCCGTTATAGCACAAAATTAATCCATATCTTCTTCTTCTTCATTACTATACATGTCTTCAATTTCCATATCCTCCTCAGAATCTGAATCCTTTCCCAGGTTTATGATCAACTCGTCTATTACATTGTCAAACCTCATATCGTGGTCCCAATATTGGTTCTCGATTTTCTGTACGTGGTCGTCACACTTTTGCCATCTTCCTGGAGTGAATTCAGAAAACAATTTTGTGATGATTGGAATTTTGTCGTCCAATGAAGTATTTATATAATTTGTAGCTAAATTGTTCTTTATATCGGCCCACACAAGCTCAATGGGGTTGAGATCAGGATGATATGGCGGAAGGCGAAGAACGATATGACCTAAAGCCTTTAATATTTCGTCAATGACGTAAATTTTTTCGGACTGAGTTCTATTTATCAAATGAAAGAGTTCGGCTTTTGTATTATCTGGTGTAAATTCAACATTACGTTCGCGTAACCAATCTTGCATGTCCCTTTTTAAACTTGACATAGTAGGTTTTTTCTTTACCTGTACACAATGGTAGGAGGCATTGTCCATTACGACCACTGAATTAGGAGCTAGTTTATTTTTCAATTTGTGACTAACCCAGTTATGAAAATTTGTGGCATTCATATCGCCATGGTAATCCCCACATTTCGAATCTGATTTGAAAATTGTTAAGGCACCGTTAACTAATCCGTCTCGGCTACCACCATGAACAATCACCAAACGACGCCCTTTGCCAATATCAGCATAAATTCCAGGCTCAGATTCGGATTGCCAACACATATTGGAGGTGTGGCTACTATTAACGTAGGTTTCGTCCAGATAATATATGTTTCGGTTTTCATTTCTATGTTTCCGTATAGCTCTTAAATACCTTACTCTCCATTCAGCAATACTGGGCCTCTCAATTAAAATGTGTCTCTTAGATTTACATTTTTTAAATAAATATCCCATCTTATGTAAAAGCTGTCGTAAATAGGTACAACCGCAGTTCACAATGCCATCTTCTTTTAAAACTGCAAGCAGCTTACGAATACTTGGGATTTTCTTATCACTAGTAGGTATAAAATTGATGAATTTTTCTTCGTATAACTCCCATGTCAAAATCATCAATCTGGATTCTCTTTTTTTATTTCTTTAGGTTTCCGCGGAGATGAAAATTTTGCAATTTCCGATGTTTGTAGACTCGAATTTCCTTCAGCTACAATTCGCATTACGGTGCGGGCAGACACTCCTGTAGCCTCTGCTACTAATTTATTAATGTTCATATCATATTTGTGTTCCATACTTTCCTTGTCGCCCTTTCGTCTTAAAAAAAAACTATGTACATTATAAATAATATTTTTCACATCTTAGAATATTTATCTCGTGTATTTTTGGAGAAAACTGTCGCGTACAACTGAATCGTGTAACCGTCGCGGCGGTTGACGGCAGACTGCGTCAGCTTGATGTTTATCTACCTCCCCCGTCCTGCCGCTCACATACCTAAGGCGATGACTAGCACTTCCGCGCAGACTATAGTTTTGCGATCATGCCAATGCCAAGCGTGATGATCCAGAAAAATCCTCCCTACAACGGGAAAGACCATGGGTCTTTCCCGTTGTAGGGAGGATCGAGGACGATCCAGCAGTAGATTATTACGAAGTGATGAAGAAGATGAAAAAAATTATGAAAGCATACTAATAAAATATTAAAGATGAAATCCATTATGGATATACTTAAATAAAATAACAAAGAAAGAACTATAAAATCGTTAAGTTCACCGCACTTCTATGAAATTATACTAAGCTCATAATATTTATATGTATAAAGGTTGAACAAGAAAAAAACCTAATGATATAAATAAAATGTTTCAGATGCATGTGTGTGGTTGAACGAGGTCGTCTTTCGGTATATAGTTATACTGGTCGTTTGCTCGCTAGTCCACAGTTCAATTCCCGTGCGGAGGCTCGTGGGCGCACTTCTATATCGTTAGGGCCAGATACATTAGCATCCATAGATCAGTCTAATCCGACAAGTAAGTCTAATGTCACATACTTAGATTCGCTTTCCTACGTATACTATGTTATAACAGTTATATGATCAACAGAGATCACTTAAAGACTTTAAAAGGCTAGATAATTTAAGTATTTCATCAAGAAATAGTTGTAGCAATTTTCTAAGGTTTCAATTATAATTCCAATCATCATCGTCATCATCATCATTGTAGCATTTTAACGTCCACTGTTAAAAAGGGTCCTTCTCCTCTTAAAGCCAATAAACACTGACTTAAACTACCTGTACAGCAATTATTAATTAACGTCCAGTCGTTGAGTTACTTTCAAGACTTCTTCGCGAGCACCAAAAATAATGGTACATAATTACTAATATTTTCATAGACTTAATTTCTACATTACAGTTATACATATCTATGATTTACCCACCGCTACGTATTCAATAAGTCGAGGTACGACTGACAGCAACGTTACAAAAATAAAGCACCATATAGCGGTGTGCGGCATCGCATTGAGTCAAACGGGGCCGATTAATGAGAGGCAAATTGCTCTTGTCGATCGCAGAAGAGATCTCTTTGTCGCCACTGTTAAGGATGCCAAGCAAAAGCTTTTAGTACTGGGTGAGTAAATTTTTTATTATGGATTCCAATGCATGTGGCTTTCAAGAAGTAACTAAGCCGAAATTACTTTTTGCGCTTCAAAGTTGTTATTACGATGTTTTTCTTCACGATGAGTACGACGACGTCATCAGTTTCATTGGTGCCAGCTGGAATCAAAATCAGTAAGCTTGCGTACTATATTTTTAGAGCATTAACTTATCCCCTGAATTACTATAGTTCTTAACCTTAAGTAATTATTATTTAACATGCTTAATTTATCATACTAACCTTGAATAATGTTAAATTGAGCGGGATGCAGGTTCTAATTTCTCACGAAATGGCTTTGGTATTGATATGACCTACAAATTATTGTTTCACGTCTGGATGTTTGTACATGTGTAATTTACGAATGTAAAACTCCCCCAAGATACAGAAGAAAATACTAGTAAGTCATTGATTTTAAATGAAAATGTAAATACATAAAAAACCAAATAAGTACTTGTACAATATTATTACCTTATCTTATGATCAATAAAATAGATATATCATTTCTAGACTAAAACAATTTTTCTTAAATGAGATTGAAATATCTTTCGTCAGGCCGAGCTGTCCTAAGCATAATGTGGAGTACAGAGTCCGAGCTATTAGTTGGCTTGAAGAAGGAAAGTATCGTGTGCTGGGCATATCAGAAAAATAATACTCGACCTGAACTCACTACAACCAATGTTTCCTTACCTTCAAGGTATTTCCTTTAATATATTCATAATTTTTCCATATGTTTATGACGTGGTCTAGTCACACTGCAGCTTTATGGTTGCAATACGAATGGGTCTGCTTCATTTGAAAAGAACCACGCTCTCACAGAATATCAACGTAAAACATCAAGCTTAATGCTGCTGTGTTTTGTATGGTGTGTAGATATAGATAACATAATCTGTCTCAGTCTACAAGGATAACAATGCATTTACATTTTGACTCATAATCGAGCATAGATGAAGATATCTATGGGCTACAGCATCCATTTACCGTCAGGTAGACTCTTGTCGCTCTTATTAAAAAGTAGTAATATTTTGATTCTATCAACCGATAAATATTCCACTACTAAAAAGGCTATACTATAATAGCCCGCTCAAATTTGCCATATCGCTTTAATTGGCAGGTGGATCCTGATAAAAAACATGATAGAATATACTGCCATCTATCGGAAACAAGATCTTCCAGGCACATCTCTATGTCACCTCTAACGGCATTTGACAGTGGATTCTCATATGACGCCGCATGAACTTTCCCATCTACAACTTAGTAATAAATTTATCATAATAATAGCTTAATAATAAAGTTGCCATTCGATTTCTGTCGTAAGCCGTCCCTCTTTCTTAACAAAAGCATTTCCAGACGTATAAAATGTAATCATTACTCTGCTTCTTCTCCATCAGCTCGTAAAAGTCTACTGCTGAACATAGGCTTATTGTAGGAAAGATTACTCTCGACGTCACATCTCTGCTTTTGCCCATCGCTGGTTTGAGTATTTTAAGTTTTGTGCCAACGAGAACTTTTCTTTTAAATATTTACCATAGTCGAGTTTTAAAACGGTCGCTGGACGTAATTAGTTGACGGGTGCTATTGCATCGCTACGATGTAGCAATTTTTTTTGGACTTGTGTGATTTGTATTTTGCTAGTGAAAGTATTATGTCATAATTGTGTTATACGATCATTCGTTAATCAGTGTCATATTTAAAGCTTAGTACTTTTTATAAGAAATGATTAAATTTCTAACAGCAATATAGGCCATAACCCCAGTATACAAAGTATTGAAAATGGAGTGGCAGCTATTTTGCGCGGTAGAGGCTCCACCGTTATGCATATATCCCTTGGGATTGTTCATGTCGAGATGGTACTGAAATATATTGCTTCTAATATGTGGAATGAAGCTGTACAGGTAAGTTTTATAATATTGTATTAAAAGTGACTGTTTATATGACTACACTACTACACTACACGGTACGAAAGAAATCTTTAATTACCTTATAGTATTTATAAGCAAGCTATAGAGCGCGCGTTAGTGAGTACGAACAGTAAGCACGGATATGAACAGTCATGACATGGTAAGGGCAATATTATTAGTCACGGAAGTTCTCGCGCGATAATTGTTTATCTCAATAAGTAAACACTAATTTTAACAAAATTACTTAGGGTGTCGATGGGAGTTGCAGAAGCCGCGCGGCCGAGGCAACATAGCAAATGCCCTGCGCCTGCGGCTTCAGGTTTTCCCCGAATAAGAGCTAGTGCTGTATCACGTTGTACTTCAATATTTTTCATAACATGATTTCTTTCGTAATAATTATAATATAATTATAGTATTAGGAATTAAGATCCTTAACTCATATGGATCAATGTCTAAAATAAAACGTTTAAATAGATAGCCAATAAAGGTAAATACAGTTAAAATACTTTTTATTTACTTAATACATAGCTAATTTAAACTAATAACCTAAGTACAATAACGTATAGGCACCAATCGTGGCGCATCACTCTTCAACAGTATCTATAGAACACCTGCTGACGCTTGGCATAAGGGGCAGTGAGCCACACGCGCGCTCTGTATCTTATATAAACTCTAAGTTAAATTACCTTAAACCTAGCATTATTTAAAAGCAATAAAATTATTATACACAGCACAATGCTAGTCCTGAACCAACTACATCTATTCTAGGCAATCTGTTCTTATTCTACTTGATTGTGGGCTGTCCTACTGCGCTTGACATTACGAGGCTGCCATTAGAGAATCATTTTTTTCCATCGCCTGTTTTAGGGTTATATGGAATATGGCCAATCTATCAGCACTTTAGCTACTATAAAATTGCTTTGGGTTCTGTCAATTAAACCTCTTTCAGTGTGCATCACGGATTTTCTCTCTATTACAGGCTCTGTAGCTAAAATAGTTGAATATTCTATTTTTATCAATATTTATGTAAAAAATATATAAGTATGTTTATCATTGTCTATACCCATAACACAAGCTCTGCAGCTGGGACTAGAGGCTTGTGTATAGTTGTGGAATATTATTGTTTATTATTATTCTAGCTCTGTACTCGAATAGAGAGATTGCAACCTTTCAATACAAAACTAAAGTTCTTATCCTTATATGCTATCAGTCAAACTAGGACCGCTGCAAAGATTTTTTTATTATCAAAAAAAATGCTACTGGATAAAGATATTTAAAAGAAATCAGATAATTTTACAAGTAAGATAATTGTTGAGACTGTAACCCTGACAATTTATAATGACTCTCGAAAATAGCACTTATGTAAACAGGATCTGCTATTTTCCAAAAAGAAATTATCACATTGCTTAAAGATCAGGGTTTTAAATTGACGGCTCCGTGGCGCAGTTTTTTAGAAATGCGTTGCGGCGCTGAGGGCTCCGGGTTTGAATCCCACCACATACATCACAAGTATTTGTATGGCATACAAATAATTGCACCGGTTCTGGATGTTTGTGATTTCGAAATGTATGAACGAAAACTGCGTCCACGATACAGAAGAAAATCCAAGTGTGGAGGTTATTAAAAAAAACACGACAGAAGTGAAACCTTCAAATTAATTTAAATATAAAATACATACAAATACTTTGATGATTTATTTAATATTATAATTTAAAATACAAGTTCGGCATAAAATATAAGTAAATTTAATTTTATAGTAAATAAATGTAACGATCCTTTTAATATATATATATAAACTATATTACACAGATACTATATTACTCTTTTCGATATACCTTATAGAGTACTCACTAATTACAAAAAGATTGATATCAATTTTACCCATTACGAAGTTGAGGTTTGACCGTTCTTCACTGCTTGTTTAATCCATAGCACGTAGTACCACTTTTTATTATACTGTGTTAGTACTATTATTTATTGTGTCCAAAGGCACACGACACCTTCGTACCTTGTTGAACATTGAACAAAACGTTTAAGCGACGCTGCTTCGGCGGTTACGACTTTTTTGAAATAGGAACATTTTCTCACACATTTAATTTTATGAATTTATGTGTCTGTCTCTTTTTACTGTCGCTTTTTCGTTTCATAGACTTTCAAATCACAACGATGCTAAAGAAGTTTTCACTTCAATAAACTTCAAAAATTTCAAAAGTTCAAGATTTCAATTATCTGACTTAACACCATACACCATCAGACGGTGAAGGGTAAAAACATAGCGAAGGCTTTATGTTAAAAGTTTACCACACGCTTTCAGAAGGTGCAAACTTTTGGAAATTTTATGTAAAATTAGTTGGTCTGTTCAATTGTGTATTACCTGTCTATAAGCAGACGTAATGCGGCTCTACGTTTGTCTAACGGTTGACATGATATTAAGCACCAAATATCCAATGATATTAAGGGTGTGATTGGAAAGATTTTGAGTACTTACCCTTTTTTACTGGAAACAAGACATTCCATCTTATTCCTCAGGGTTGAAAACGCAATGCATTTTGATTCTTAATAAAGGACAACGCCGTCTTAGGCCATACCGTGGCCCTTGGGCACACAAGAATTTGGGGCCCTGTTGGAAAGTAAACACAAGTGAATGACAAAAAAAAATTCTGCTATGATGTTATTTTTGTTATAGTTAATTGGTAAAATCTAATAATATCTCATTAATGAGGGTACCACGACTTTTTTTGTCACCAGGGCGGCGCCACTTTACAATGAGGTAAAATATTTGACAGATTTCATAGCGGAGAGGATAATTTCTTAGGAAAATTTAAACTTTAATATTTTTTCCTCAACTTTCTTTCAAAGAAGCAAAGAGATTTAAATATATATACTAACTTAAATGTCTTTGCAAAAAAGGAAAATATTCTATAATTCTTTTTTATTTCATACATAAAAATTTAGTATTCACTTATCTAAAAATAAGGATCGTAACAATTATTTGCTATGAAATTTTAAATAAAAGTTTTAAATAAATCATTTGCCGTTAAAACTTTTGAAATGTTATTTTTAACGCCTTGTGTTAGGCATATGTGTACCCTTATCGAGCGTACGGTACGGTAGCGTTGCAGTACGATATGATATTTTTATCTTGTAGATTATAAATACATAGATTACCGAAAAAAAATCCAGGCTATAAAAAGGCGACTCTACAGCCCGACCAAACCGTATAGATGGCGGCGAAATGCGGAACTACATATTTTCTACCTTGGAAATCTGTCAATGCACACGAAATTATTCATCATTTACTCCAAAAAATTTTTTGTCAGGTTATATTTTCCGATTCCTGCCGTCTCGGGGGCCCCCGTGATGACAGGGGCCCTGGGCACGGGCCCCGTGTGCTCTTATGGTAAAGACGGTACTGATCAAGGATAAATGTAGATGTCTATGGACCACAGCATTCACTTACCATCAGCTGGACTGTGTGCTCGTTTGTCATTCTTATTCTATTTGAAAAAACTACAGCGGCAGGTCACTTATTAGTTAATTTCGTCTTCGACATTGACAAGTTCCACGATCTTATTGTTCACTATAGTATAATTTTGGGCCATAAAAATATTTTTAACGTTAACTCATTGAAAAACATTTTTAGCTTTGTCGCACATTAAAGGACACCAAATTGTGGGGATGTCTGGCGGAGCTTTCTTTGGAAAAGAATCAACTGGATATTTCTGAAGAGGCGTTCAAAGAAGTACATCAATATGCAGAAGTATTTCGGATTCAATATTTAAGTAAGCAGTTGGTTATTAACATTAAGAATTTGAAATATTACATTTTAAAACTCCGTGTAAAAAAGTAAATAACTGCAGTTACAGCCTATATACCCCCCAGTGCTGACCACATACCACCGAGCAGGTGGTAAATCAGCTCGTGAAATCACTACTAATAATTTTGTTGGTGCCTGTGGGAATCTTAGTGTATTGACCTGAGCTTACCACGACTCTCTCGACTCGTGTGTATTAAGCTTTTAAATTATGTATTGGTTACTCAGTTAATTTGGCTTATTTTACGGCCGAATAACTTTTGTTTTAATAATCGTGAAATAGTATCATAATTCTGTTGTGTTGTTAAGTAAGGAGAGCCGTAGATCCTTTTTCCTGGTGATGAAACATCCTCAACCCCACATGGGTTCTGATTATTTTGGGTTATGAATGACTGACAAGTATGCTTAAGCCAGAATTAATGAATAAGTGAGTGAAACGAATACCGGGGTACGGAGCGATTGAGATCAGAATTGAGCGTGCGACAAAAGGTGTGAACCGGTGTGTATAACATTAAAATAATCAAAGAGCTTTGTTTTTCTTTTTAATCTCTCATTTGTAGCCCTATCCCTACAACGTTCTTTTTGCCTCGATTAATAATATCGCTGGCTACAACTAGAGATGGGCCGAATAATCGTTTCGTATTCGATATTTGGCAGCTTTATCGAAGATTCGGCTAATTCAGCTAAATCATCGAACATCGTTAAAGTAGTACTAGTAATTGAGTAATAATATGTCTTTCATAATTTTACTGTTGAAAGTATATTTTATTTATGGGTTAAATCTACTTGTCTAGCGTTATGTTTTGTAGATTTATTTCCAATTATAGCAAATTGAAAGCTTGATAAAATGTTTATGGAATCAAATAAATAAACATTACATTACATTAGTACATTTCACTTTACTTTGGTCATCAGTTTCTCTAAAACCATTCCAATCTCCTGCCACTCATTTTTATCATATAATTATGAATTTTCACATACAAGATTATAATTATGAATTTTCACTAAGAATAACATAACGAAATACATTTTTTCTCGCAAAAATAGTCAAAACATAGGCAAGTCCCGGTAATAACGTATCAGGCGTGTCGGGGGAGCGAGGGGCAAGGTCCGGCGCTAATTCTGCGCTCTTCACGGTAACAAGTTTCGACATATTATGTCAATATTAGTTCTCAAGACGACCACTAGTTGTGCTTCAAAATAGCCAGTCCAGTGTACTAGTATATATAGAGATCAGTGGGTGAAACCCATTAATTCGACCCATCTCTAGTTACAACACAAAATTCCAATCAGTGTTTTACATACCTATAGTTTTTTTAAGCCCAGCTGGCTATAAAACTTTCCAAAGATTTACCAGCAGGCATCAGGCATGCACTGCTTGAAAGAATAGCCCTACACTTACCACACTGCATGTGGTTTGGTGAGTACAGAGCAGTGCGTGAACATCGGTAATGTTATTGTGGTAATGCTCATCTTTGGGTTCGTCATTTACTTAATTAGGTAGTGATCGGATTCGCCGATCAGACAAAGTCATTTAAAGCCAGCAAAACATTACTCAACGCTCTTAATTTTTTGTTCCAGAAAACATAAGAAACAGTGGTGGTAAAACGACGTTAACTGAATGAATTACATATTTTTAAATAAGTTATTAGAAGCAATCTTAGAGTATACATAAGCAAACTATAGAGAGCGCGTATCACTCATTGCCCATTATGCCAAGCGTGTCCAATATATTACTTTCCTCTATGGCCAAGCGTAACAGATGTTATAGAATCTTAGACAACGTCTAAGTATAGAATATATAGTTATGCGCCATAATTGACGCCTATGCGCTAATATACTTAATTTAGTAGTTTTTATTAATATAATTTAGTGGTGTTTAATAAGTAAATATTATGTAGGTAGGTAATTACAACAATTAAACGGATCAATAAAAAACAAGTATGTATTTATGAAATGATATTTATTTATCACACGCCAAAATCTAACTAACTTACTGCTCCTTAAAAATTGTTAATTTATTATATAATTGTCGTTTCATTTGCTTGATCGTAGTGTTAGGTATAAGATATTTATTTGTAACGTCAGTAGGTATAGTTTCAATGAGATCCATTAGTTTAAAAAAATCGCGAACACACACGCGTAATTACGTAGGTACCTAGATAAATAACTTAGATAAATAACTGTCGAAGCTACTTTTTAATCGCTTAAAACTTACTTCAAATGTGGGCTCTGGTGTTGCACCTCTAAACAGCTTGTGCAGTTCACTCCTTGTAGCAAAATGAATGAAGCACTAAAATCTAATCTTGGGCCCCCAGTTGGGTTTTTCATTGCATCCACTCATTTATTTGCCAATCCACGGCTTTTCGGATATTTAAGAGCCCAGTCTTTCAGAGCAAAACAGAAAAATTGCGTTCTGGTGACACATCTACACCCTCCCTGCCCCGCCACTTCATGTACCGCCACCGCAGTTATCTTTCTGGCCGTAGCGTGGAAAGTTGCTCTACTAAGATTTTCCAGTATCAATTTATCTAATATACAGGATTATTGATAATTAGCTAACAAATTTTCACATACAGATTTTCTACCTCGTATCTATTTTTGTTCCATGCTTTTATTACAAAATTCGTTACACAAAAAAAATATTTTAAGTTTGTATAATTTTTGTTGTTTTGTTGAAAAGGTTTCTAAAAGATAATCATCTAGAACCTGTATAACATGTACTCGTATTATTGATTATTCAAATGAATCTGGCAAGTGCTAGAATGAGTCGTGCACTGAGGGTTTCGTAATAAGTCGATGACACTATCGAAAATCCGTCAAGTACGTCAAGTAGTTCTAAATACTAAAATAGATTAAAAAAAAAACTCAAAATAATTTCTATATAAGTACAAACAGTCCACTATCACACATATTTATAGTTTCTCATTAAAGTATAATGTAACTTTGTATAGCATTTACCTATATGCATTACAAATATGCAACTCATTTATAAACTATTCTTAAAAGTGCCTACCTAATTATATACCTAATATTTAACCAAGTGCTCACACATATGCACGTTGTTAACTATTTTACTATGAAACACAAAAAAACTTACCTTTGAATTCTATTTCTGTTCATTGCTTCAACGTTTGATTTCAATTTTCGTTTTCTGGTACAAGCATATTTTTTACGTTTATGGTCCATATCGAAATTAAAAGTTATAAAACAAATACAAAATGATTTATAAACCCTTAAAGAATTATATGCAAAAAATAATAAAGTAGAGCAACTTTCAATTCGTAACAATGCGCAACCAAGATTAGGGAAAGAGAGAGAAAGAGGAATGTTAGAGCGAGAGGAAGTGCAAAAATTTGGCACAGACAAGACGTCTGAACGCTACAGCCGCTCAGCGGCTACTAAGGAATATTGCCCGCAATTATTGTTTATAAAGTCAATATTTTATAGTTCGATCGAAATAATTATTAATTTTGAAATAAAGTGGTTTAAATTATTATTTTTTAATATTTGTCTAATTAAACACCTGCCCTTGAGAAAAAAATAATTATAGCATAAATATTTTCAGCTATTGCTATGAAACAAATAGTTTTTTATGAGGCGAAAACAGCGAAATTTAACGAAATTGAGACCTCTTATTTAAGACAATGAAAGATATTTAGAAAAAAAGAAACAGCGCATTTTGGAGATGAAGATGTTTAGCTATTAACGCGCTGAATAGATTTCGCCTTTTTTATGATCGATTGCCTTATAATGGTACACGAACAAAGCTCGAAATTGCGTTGGGTGCGAGAGAGCTCTATTTACCGTTTGATTTATCTAACATAGACCACATAGATGAACCAAAAAAAAATTTAGCCATTACTTATAATCTGGGTATTTATGTGTTATCAAAATATTTTACTCTGAAACAATAATTTGCTGTAAAAAAAGAAATCAAAGTGGCGCTAATGATTCGATGTGAGTCAACTTTAAAAGACTGTAGCCTTAATAAGTATTTAACTGCATTTATTTCTATTATATACTGCAGGTAAGAAAACTATTCAAAAGTTTTGTTTTAAACATCGATCTACGAATATATGGGTTAATAATAAAGTACAAATAATCTTAATTTCTAATACTATGAGTAGGTATATTCCTTAATGATTTCTTAAATTTACGCGAACACTACACATTGAATAAAACTATTATTTTTATTTATTATATTAAATGAAGTTATTACAAAATATTCGTATATAATATAGGGCTATATATAAGGTAGAGCACTAGCCCTAATTCAAGTTAACATATAAAGGACGTTGCGGGAGCACATGCTGTAGCGAACCTACCGCGCGCTTCTTGCAACAGCCTTTAGAACCCTGATTAATCAGTGTTTTCTTAAAAAATATCACTTACCGAATATCATTACAGTTTTAAGTTTGATTCCGTGAATCATTTTTAGAGCTTGTTACTGCACATTTCACCATAGTAACTTGAAATTCAACTAAATATCGGCGAGAAAACAATCAATGAGCGTGCCATTTCGTTACTGATAGTGTCGGCATCGCTTTACCCGTGCTCACTGTTCATACTCGCTAACGCGCTCTCTATAACTTGCTTATGTTATACTCTAAAGAAGCAATCCACAAAAAATTCTTAATAAAGCTTAATATACACAGTGAACATTTAAGAAGTATTTTTATTTTTAATATCTACGTATATCATAACTTTATTTAAATCTGGTAGTACATTAGACTCCGCCAATTTTAGACCAATTTTTGTACTGCCAACGCTCAATATTATTTCTTTTTTTTATTTTAGACCAGATGTTAATTTTTTTTAATATGAACAAGTTTTTTCATAATAAATAATTTGGTTTTACACGAGGTTGCTCGATAAATAACGCCGGTATTGATCTTATTAAACATATTTTTTGTGCATGGAAGAATCCTGAGGATGCTTGAAAGGTCATAAAATATACCCATTTAA